GCAGAGGCTATTTTGCTCATTTTTAAATTACCACCCCACTGGAAAAAATAATAATAACAACTTGCATAGTTAGGAGTGAATAGGCAGATGCCTGTAATAAATGCCACCTCCTCCCCTGTCTGACTTGCTTTCAAAACAGAAACTTTATCTCCTACCAAGACACCATTTAGATCTCATTTTGAGCAACCTGGAAAGAAAACTGAGAAAATTCCCTACCAGTTAAAAAACAATTGAGCCACCACTGCTAATAACAATATACTGAGTGATGGTAGGTGCTGAAATCTAATTTTATAAGTGCTCTAATTGTTTTCTAATAGCTGCCAAACAATATTCTCCATGTCCACATATGGACAAATATCAAGGGTAGACTCAGCTTGAGGGGAAGTCAAGGCTCAGAACCAATTTGGCACTAGTATACAAACAGAGTTAATGGATCTAAAAGGTAGAGAAGGAAGGCAGCAGCTTGCTCCCAAACTAGGAGGTCAGCAGTGTTCTCCAGGAAAGATGGAGATGCAGACTTCCAGAAACCAAAAATCTCATTCAGAGCACTACAAAATTATGGATTTAACACCTGAGTGAGGGAGGCTCACATGGCATCTTTAAGAAGCTCATCTGCTCCCCGTCTCTGCCCCAAACCCAGCCTTAAACATACAAGGCTATAGCAGTTCCTCATTTAAGCTATTTTGAATGTATGCCAGAGAGCACCTCACCTGAATCAGGTGTGTTTCATCAATTAGAGTTACACAATATACAAGGTGACTATGGGACAATGTGGAGACCCCATGCTACAATGTGAGCAAAGTTTTCATTTATTAACATCAATTTCCCTAGAAAGTACATACCTGAACTTAGAGGTGAAGTACTATAAGAGTCAACTGTGGAGACATTGGAGGAAATCATAAAGAAGCTCACTCACTTTAAGTATTTACTGTTTCCCAAAGAAGAATGAGCTTCGTGAAATTTCTGCTTTAGCCAAGGTAGAATAACAGACCAGTTTACCCTTCTACCTCAAACAGCTTAAAAATGAGTAAAATGTATAAAACAATGACTTGCAAGACACTGGACCTCAGGCGAAGGCAGTGATCCCTAAGAGAGGAGTTGCGCCCTATGATTGTTCCAGCTTACTTCTTTGAGAGTTTTCAGGCCTAGCATAAGAAAAGCCCAGCTGACTTCCAGCTGCTCATGGGGAGGTGTTTCACTGGGGCACTCTACTACAAAACTGGCCGAGGGAAGTGCCAGGGGAAGCTAAGGTCGGTGGGTGCTGCCGCCACCATGCACTGCAGAAGATGGCAGTGGAGAAGGCATGAACATGGCAGGAGGCTGGAAAAGAATCCATCTGCATTGCAAGATCTGAGCATTGTGGCAGCCCAGCCAGTTGTACTCCATGAGTCAGATGACAGGAAAGCTGTCTGTGCTACCAGGCACTGGCAGAGCTAAATGACTTGCAAAACCCACACTCTGGGGACTCTACATGCACTGCAGGAACCACACACAAGCCTCCTGCACTGCAACAGCCTGGCACTACATAAGCCTTGTGCATTGCAACAGCGTGCATTTGCAAGCAGGCTGGAAGGGAGAAGGAAAAGCCCTTTCTCCTGCAGTGTCTCTCTAGCGCCCTCTACTGACAAAACTAAGCATGGTTCCTGCAGGCAAAGAGAAAATACAACAAAGGTCCATTAATTTTCTCAGCGCTGTTAGTAAACGGTGAATTGGAACGGAGAGGCAATGAATTCATTTTATTTAGACATTGACACAGTGATTATAAATCTCATGTGGAAATTCAAAGGGCCTACCATAGCCCAAACAACTACGAAAAGCAACAAAGTTAGAGAATATAACTTGATTTCATAAGTATTATAAAGCTAGTGTAATCAAGACAGTGCCATATTGGCTTAAAAAATAGACCAAATAGATCTATAGAACAGAATGAATCGTGAATCCAGAAATAGACTCACACAGATAAGGACAATTAGATTTCAACAAAATTTTTAAAGTAATTCGGTGGAGAAAGGACAGTCTTCTCAGAAAATGGTTTTAATCTTCTCTGAAGAAAAAAATATTCTTCAGAAAATGGCTGAAACAACTGGATATTTATATCTACAGACACACAAAATGAACTGAGATCCATACTTGACATTATATACAGTGTAAGACTCAAATAGGTGAAAATGGGTAATGAAGCTAAATGTAAAATCAAAGATTTTTTTTAAACTTCTAGAAGAAAATATAAGTGAGCCAGTTGCAGTGGCTCATGCCTGTAATTCCAGCACTTTGGGAGGCCAAGGTAGGAGGATTGCTTGAGGCCAGGAGTTTGAGGCTGCGGTGAGCTATGCTTGCACCACTGCACTCTAGTCTGGGTGACAGAGCAAGACCTTGTCTCAAAAAGGAAAAACAAAATATAAATGAAACTTTTGTGAACTTGGGTTTGGCAAAGACTTCTTAAATAAGACATCAAAAGAATGACTGGATTAGATATAATCCATAAAAGAATAAATTGATGAATTAGAAACTTCTGCTCTTCAAATGTGTTTTTAAGAGAAAGAAAAAACAAAACAAGCCACAGACTGGGCTGCAAATTATATATCTGACAACTGAAATGCCCAGAATGTATAAAGAAACCTTAACATTCAATAAGAGAACAAACAACTCTATTTAAAAACTTGGCAGACAGTTTAAGCAGACACTTTGCCAAAGAAGATAACTGATGGCAAGCACATAAAAGATGCTTATGATCCTTAACCATTATGCAAATGCAAATTAAAACAACAAGAAGATACCACTACTCATCTATGAGAATGGCTAAGATTTAAATGATCAATTCTACCAAGTGTTGGTGAGAGTGTGGAATAACTAAAACCCTCATGCACAGCTGTATTTTCCGCTTTAGAAAACAGTTAGAGCTAAATGACTTGCAAAACCCACACTCTGGGGGCTCTACATGCACTGCAGGAACCACACACAAGCCTCTTGCGCTGCAACAGCCTGGCACTACATAAACCTTGTGCATTGCAACAGCGTGTATTTGCAAGCAGGCTGGAAGGGAGAAGGAAAACCCCTTTCTCCTGCAGTGTCTCTCTAGCGCCCTCTACTGACAAAACTAAGCATGGTTCCTGCAGGCAAAGAGAAAATATAACAAAGGTCCGTTAATTTTCTCAGCGCCGTTAGTAAAGGGTGAATTGGAACGCAGAGGCAATGAATTTGAGAGCCCACACCTGTTGTGTGAGCTAGTGACTCTCCTCCTATGTACTGACCAAGAGAAATGACAGAGTATATTCATACTCATACCTGTACACGTGTATCCATTGCACCTTTATTTGTAATTGGCAAAAACTGAAAGAACCCAAATGTTCTTCAGTAGGTGAATGTATTTTTTAAAACTGTGGTATATCCATACACTACACAGCCACGAAAAGAAATGAACTATTGGTGCACACAACTACATGGACAAATCTCAAAATAATTATGTGGAGTGAAAGAAACAAAAAATCACACACCTTACAATTCTGTTATATAAAATTCTAGAAATTGCAAATGAAGGTATAGTGACCGAAAGCATATTAACTCTTGCCTAGGGACAGGGAAAGGAAGCAGTGGAAGAGATTACAAAAAGTGATTACAAAAAAGCATAAGGAAGCTTTCAGGGATGATGGAAATGTTCATTTTCTTAATTGTATGATGATTTTACATCATACCATCTCATGGAGTTTTACACTATAAATAAGTTCAGTTTATTATATATCAATTATATCTTCATAAAGTCTTTTTTAAAAAAAACAAAGAATTATTTTTCCTTCCACACTATCATCCCATTGTGTTAACTTATCTGACTGATTTTACAATTTTGACCAAATAGACAAATTAATGGAATGAAGAACTAGTTACATGCAGGCAAAAACTTTACCTCATGAGTACATAAAAGAACATGCTAAAGGCATTACTCATGTTACTCGAAGAACTAGGACAAGTCCCAAGAAATAATGTGATAACATTGTACAGTTTACTGTCTTGAAATATGTTGCCAAAGATTCAGAAATCAAAGTGAGGGAGAACCACCAGAGCAGAGGATTCTATTCATGAGGCGAAGCTATAGACTTCTACAGAAAGAGAAAAGCTGTGCTTTTCTTCTTACATTTCAAAACATATAAAACAAAATAGTCACTTTGTAAAATAAGTGTTGACCATTTAGTTCTCAGATAAGTTAGAAATGATACACTGCTGGTGAGAGTGTAAATTAATTCAACCATAGTAGAAAGTAGTGTGGTGATTCCTCAAAGGGCTAAAAACAGAACTACCCTTTGACCCAAAGATCCCATGACTGGTTATATTCCCAAAGAAATATAAATCATTTTATCATCAAGACACATGCATTGGTATGTTCATTGCAGAACTATTCACAATAGCTAAGACACAGAATCAACCTAAATGGCCACCAGTGGTAGACTAGATAAAGAAAATGTGTTATATGTACACCATGGAACACTACACAGCCATAAAAAAGAATGAGATCATGTCCTTTGCAGGAACATGGATGGAACTGAAGGCTATTATCCTTCCCAAACCAACACAGGAACAGAAAAACAAACACCTCATGTTCTTACTTATAAGTGGGAGCTAAATAATGAGAACACGTGGACAGAAAGAGGGGAACGACAGAAACTGGGGCCTGCTTGAGGGAGGAGGCTGGGAAAAGAGAAAGGTTCGCAAAAAAAAAAAAACCTGTCAAGTACTAGGCTTAGCACCCAGGTGACAAAATAATCTGTACACCAAATCCCCAAGTCATGTGTTTACCTGTATGACAAACCTGCACATGTACCCCTGAACCTAAAATGGAAGTCATTTTTTAATGGAATTGTAAGAAAATACCTTTTATCTCTTCTGCACCTCTTCTGCTGTTTAGCATTGCCTCATAAATTGTTTTTCACAGCTGTTTTGATTCAGTTTGATTCAGTGTATTGACATCGGTTTTCTCTCTCTTTCCTCTCTGTGTTTTGATATGCCAGATGTATCGTTAAGATTACTGGAGAAATGGTGTTGTCATTTCCTGCTGGCATCACCAGACACTTTGCCAACAACCCATCCCCAGCTGCTCTGACTTTTCGGGTGGTAAATTTCAGCAGGTTAGAACACGTCCTGCCAAATCCCCAACTTCTCTGCTGGTAAATATGATTTTGCATAAATTTTTCAGAGATATATGTGGCTTAGTACTTTGTACTTAGATGAGGGATATATCTTAGCAAGAGAGTTGCACTATAGTGAAATTACCATCACTCAGATATATTTGTAGATTCAAACACGGAATCTACCAGCTGTCAAAATTTGTTGTGGGTGATTGTGTGTGTGTGTGTGTGTGTGTGACTGCATATGCATATACATGTTTCAATGGCCGACTATCTCAAGTGGTTAGAGAGACAGAGTAAGAAAATCTGTATCAGCAACAATTTATTCATTGTCTGTTTTACTCATTATCAACAGACAGTGGATGACAATGGCAGGAAATGAGCCAAATAACAAGAATAAAATCCTTTCATTGTATGAGCATCTTTTTATTTTTATTTTATTTCATTTTATTTTATTTTATTTTTGAGATGGAGCTTCACTCTGTTGCCTAGGCTGGAGTGCAGTGGCACCGTCTCAGCTCACTGCAACCTCCGCCTCCTTGGTTCAAGTGGTTCTCCTGCCTCAGCCTCCCAAGTAGCTGAGATTACAGGTGCCCACCACCACACCTGGCTAATTTTTGTATTTTTAGTAGAGATGGGGCTTCGCCATGTTGGCCAGGCTGGTCTCAAACTCCTGACCTCAAGTGATCTGCCCGCCTCAGCCTCCCAAAGTGCTAGGATTACAGCCTTGAGCCACCGCGCCTGGCTTTCTCTTTAAATCAATTGTGTGTGTAGGTGTGACTGTGCATGTGCAGATGCATAATAAAGACATCAAATACAGGTTTAATATTTAATACAATTTCATTATAATGATCATTGCTTTGATGGAACTTTACATGTATGACATAAAATAAACTTATGCAAATCTGTTTATGTAAATATAATTTTCACATTTTCTAGCTATTAAACCTGAATTTGATGTCTTTATTATGCATATGCACAGTCACACAAACCCACATGCATGCATGCTATTAAAATGGTCAATTATACAAGTTAATTATTTGCAGTGAATGAGCTGAAAGGTGTCTTCTTGACAGCTTCTCCATCATGAAGTCCTGATGGTCATCTACAAACCTCTGTCTGAAGTGGCCACTTTTCTCTTTACTGCCACCTCCCTTGTCCAAGTGACCACTGTCTTTTCCCCGTAGCACTGCAATTGCCTTCTTCTCTCCCTGAATCCAATCTTGCCCGTCTCCAGTACATTTTAACAGCCAGGTGGTCTTTTATGAGTAAATCAGGTCATCTTCGTTCACAACTCCCTGGTGGCTTCGTATTACCCTTGTCCCAGAATCTAAACGTGTTACCATTGCCTTTGAGGCCTTGAGTTATTTACCTTGTCTGCCTCTCCATTCTCATCTCCCACCATCCTGCCTCAGAATCCTTTTAGCTCCAGCAAGACCTGTCAATCTCAGAAACAGGCTGAGTCCTTTCCCACAACACGGCTTTTAGGTTTCCTCTGCCTGGAATACTATTTCAACCTTCTTCACCTGACTCCAACTCATCCTCTAGTCTCAGCTCTACTCTGCCTCTGACACTATCCCATTCTCCTCCCCAGATCCCCACCAACCAGCCCTAAACTAATAGCTTGGTGCAAAAGTAATTGCAATTTCTACCATTACTTTTAAATGACAAAAATCACAATTACTTTTGCGCCAACCTAATAAATTCTGTCCCCTTGTTATTCTCTCTAAAGGTACCCTGTTCTTTTCCTTTGTGGCACTTACTACAGTTAATAATGACATATCTATTTGTGTTTCTTCATTCATCCATCTGCCACACAAGACTGTGCAAACCATGAGGGAATGGAAAAAGTCTCTTAATTCAAATTCTTGCTTCAGTTTCCCTCCATGTTTTGATGGCGCACGTTTAGCCAGTTTATTTTTCAAGGTTCTTCCATCGGAAATTAGGAATTATGTGCCAATATCTTGCCAGTTTGTTTGTAAATATGACTGGTGTCATAGTTACAGCTTTTGTTGCATTTTTAGGCAGTTATGTTGCCAAGTTCTTACGCATATGCGCAAAAGTTGTATACATATATTAACATATTGGTCTTATACATAGAATCAAATATCACTCAAAAGGGTTTTGCTTACCAAAATATTATATAGACCCTTAAATTATTATTTGCAAAAGTAAAAAAAAAAAGAAAGAAAATATATCACATTAATTTGGATCTTATGAACTCTAAATATTTAATCACTATAACAGGGCTGTGATTGAGTGACCCTTTAGTCATCTATAGACTCTTGAGTTTTGTTACGCAGTGCCACTCCACTACCTCGACCACCACAACCATCCCCAGTTTTTAAAAAGGTGTTGTTGACCAGGCATCATTCTAGATTGCAGTCCCAGCCTTTAGTGTCTATCATCAGCCAATTGTTTCCTTAATGTTTACTGAAGAAGACTTCATATGTCACCATGGCCCCTGGACATTTTGGTTTGCAATCCCTATGACAGGGGTCAAATTGAAGATTACGTCTACTTTTTTCTTGTGAAAAAAATTTGCTTGTAAAAAATATGCGGGAACAAATGTCAAGTCAAATACAAGACTGAAGAATGCTCAAGATGTCTTGAGCATTTAAGAATTCCATCCCTGTGTAAGCATTTGATTGGCAATGCTTTCTTGGATATTTTTTAAAGCAGGTTCTCTAAGAAATTATCACAGACCTACGACAACTTATTTTGCTATTAAACTCAGCAAATGTATTTCTTTAAAGTTGTTTTATATAATTGAGGATTTCCCAATTATTCAAATCTACTTAGTACAAATTAATGGCATGATGCTAGATATTAATTCTGAACCTCTGTTTTGGCATAGTGGGAAAGTGTACAACTGATATGGGCTGGAATCTGGCTCTGTTTCTTATTAGCAGCATGACCTTAAGCAAATTATTTAATTTCACTGACCCTCTGTTACTCTTACCTCCTGCCCGCTTGTGTAGCAACAGCTCGGGGAGCTTGGGTAACTTAGATGCTTTTCAATTAAAACACTCAGATAGCCCTTATCAGCATCCCTAGCTCAGCCGACAAGGGGCAAAGTCTTCAGGACAACATGTGTTTTCCACCCCCTTCCTCCATTTCCAGGGCCAAAGAGCTTTACCTCGTCCTCAATAACCTTATATCCAGGAACAGCAAAACCGCACTGGTCACATTGAGACTTGGCCACCCTTTCCTAACAGATCAGTGACAGTTTTAAGGCCCTGGTGTTTTTTACTCAGCTTTCTTGATTTATAGGAATTCTGGAGACTGAATCATAGCAACTTGCTTTTGACCTGTCTTTTCGGTTTTTCACTGTATCAGCCTTCTCTCTTCTCAACCCCGAATTTTCTCTTTTTATAACAAGTTTGCTCATCTTTAGAAACAAAGACAATAAGTCTTCCTTTGTAGGGTAGATTTTAATGAAATAGTTTATAATGCCTAGCATATAATAGGTGCTCAAGAAATTATAACTACTGTTATTGTACTATATAGGATATTCTGAAAGTGAAATGTCAGCAAATGTGTGTGACAAGTAACTGAATCACTTGTGGCTTTAGCGTCCTCATTATATGGGAAATGAGTTATATGTTTGTACACTCTTGCCTGATTCTTTTTATCACTGAGATGAGCATTTGCAAGATAGATTGGGTAAGTGGTCTGCATACAGGCCTCTGAGCAAAGCTAAGACTCTCATAGGGATATAAAACTTCTTAGCTTGTAAAGATTCTGCTCTTCTTCTGTATTATAACTACAATGATTGTCATTTAAACTCCAGGATCATCTTATAAGTGAAGTGAAATCTTTGATGATTTAAATGCTCATGGATGAACTATTATGAATGCTGAAAAGGTAGCATGGTAATTTTAGTATCACTGTTTTCTGCTTAGTTGGTGATAAAGGCCATGTTTACATTTAGTCAAATATTTCGCTGGATAATTTCTGAGAAACTACTGGTCAAAGTAATTCAAAAGTAAATAAATGTATTCAGTTCCTTAATTGCATTAACTGACTAATTTAGACAAAACTGGTGCAGTAGAAAGGGCTATTAAGTTTGAGTTAATAAATAATTCACTCTTGAAAGCACCCAATTATCGCTGCAATGAGTTAATATTACTGAGCACTCACTGAGACTGATAGCAACACAGTAGCTCCTCCCTGTGGATATTAATCTACCAACACAAGAGCATTCAGAACTGTATATGTACGAAAACCACACCACTGTTAATAGATTCATAATAATCTCTATAAATTGTCAAAAGATGGCTCTACATATCAGAAGACAATTTGCTAAGATGCTTCTTGTAGGGTTTATATTTGTTTTAAGATGCTACTCAATCATTTTTCTTCCCAAATGAACAGTGATAATACACAAAATGATGCCAATACCAAGGAATTCTGGGTAAACATGCCAAATTTGATGACTCACCTAAAGAAAGTGTCTGAACAAAAACCCCAGGCTACATATTATAACGTTGACATGCTCAAATATCAGGTAAGCCTATTTACATGGTCAGTATCTCTTTCACATGACATACTTGTTGTCTAAAGTACCTGTTATTGAATAAAAATAACCAAAGTAACGCTTCTTTTGACATTTTTTAAAAGTTATAACTCATTTTTCTAAGTGGAAACTTTAAAAGACAACTTGGGGACTACTGACAAAAATATTCATACATGTTCTTATTAGTTTAATAAGCTTACAAGTAAAATATTTTATCACAAAATTAGAGAAATGTGCCACAAAAAATGAAGTTGCAGAACATTATACTAATTAAGATTATAAGTTTGTATTGATAAACGAGATTATTATAATTTTGTTAAGAACATTACTATACTACAACCTCTTATTTTAAATGATTCAATGTAAACAATCTGCTTTCGTTTTTCTAGTAAGATAGTCCTACGAAAGAATTCTAATAAAATCTAACGTTAAGAAATAGTTCAATAATAAAGGAATGTTTCATACATACAATATATGAGAACTTTCTTTTTGTATCTAGGATTGACCTTACCTCAAATTATTATTCATACCGGGATCCTGATAGTGCCTGAGTCTCTCATTGATTCCCAGCCACTTGACTGACTGGATTTTTTTTCTTTCTTTTTTTTTTTTTTTTTTTCTCACCCTGTCACACAGGCTGGAGTGCAGTGGCACAATCTCGGCTCACTGCAACATCCACCTCCCGTGTTCAAGCGATTCTCCTGCCTCAGCCTCCTGAGTAGCTAGAGTAGCTAGGATTACAGGCATGCAGCTCCACTCCCTGCTAATTTTTTATATTTTTAGTAGAGACAGGGTTTCACCATGTTGGCTATGCTTGTCTGGAACGCCTGACCTCAGGTGATCCACCCACATCAGCCTCCCAAAGTGCTGAGATTACAGGCGTGAGCCACAACACCAGCTGACTGCCTAGATTTTTTTAAACCTTTTTATTTTTTAATTGACAGGTACAATTGTATATCTGTATTAGGTACAACATGATATTTTGAATATATGTACGTTGTGGAATGACTAAATTAAACTAACATATGCATTACCTCACATAGTTATTTTTGTGATGAGAACACTTTCCATTCACTGTCTTTAGTGTTTTTCAATAATACAGTATATGGTTATTACCTATAGTCACCACATTATGCAATTGATCCTTGAATTTCTTCCTCTCATCTAACTGAAGTTTTTTGTCCTTTGAGCAACATCTCCCTAAACAAACCCCCACCCCAACCACCTCTACCACCACTACCTCAGCCTCTGGTAACCACCATTCTACTCTCTAATTCTATAAGATCAACTTTTATTTTTATGTTTGTTTTATTTTATTTATTTAGTTTTTTGAGATGAAGTCTCGCTCTGTTGCCCAAGCTGGAGTGCAGTGGCACGATCTCGGCTTATAATAGCATCCACCTCCTGGGTCCAAGCGATTCTCCTGCCTCAGCCTACCAAGTAGCTGGGATTACAGGCACGCACCACCATCCTGGCTACTTTTTGTATTTTCGATAGAGACGGGGTTTCACCATGTTGGCCAGGCTGGTCTCGAACTCCTGGCCTCAGGTGATCCCCCCTGTCTTGGCCTCCCAAAGTGCCGCTGTGCCCAGCCAAGATCAACTTTCAAATATTTTACATAAGAGTGAGATCATGTGGTATTGGCCTTTCTGTGCCTGGCTCATTTCATTTACCATATTTTTAATGCATTATGATTTTTGATTAAGTATGTTCAGATTAATTTTCTTAAAATGAAGAAAGTTGTACTTTAATAAAAATCAGGACATCTCAAACTCGACTGTGTTTCTCAATCAAATGCCAGTTCTGAATTGATGCTAAAAAGAAATATACATTATATATATTTAAATATATATATTTA